CTTGATATTAATGAAGCTACAGTAGCCTGAAAAAACTCACTTGCTCTCTTCTCCCTTTAAAGTACACAGATAGGACTGGTACTTTAACCCTTGCACCTGGAGGTTAATCTCGGTGCCCTGACTTGCACTGCCAGAAGTTGAAAGCCCCACCCTCAAACAGCACAGTCTTTGAGTATTATCCCAGAAGACTTCATCCCAGAATCGCTGCTTAGACACCTTTGGAAATAAGGACTGGTAACAGCGACACCTTTAATGTACCTGTAGTGGTACAGATAAAGTGAACAAGAAAGGTTTTGTCACACCTGCTTCTGGTAGTCAAATAACTACTTGGTTATTGGCTTGTACATAAATTTAATCTGGAAGAAGCCTCATCATTGAACCCTGCACTTCTGTTGACATTTTCTGTATCAAACAAAGCACTGAAATAAACTGTCCCAGTGAATGAGAGCCATGGCGGACATCTGCTTGGCACCGTTTTGCATGTTCTTCACTTGTTCTGTTTGTTCTTGTGTCCAGTCTGTTCTTTTCATTTCCCCCATGCTCACACATCACACTCTCTACTCTGTATTGCCTAGCAGGTGTTTGAGTAAGGAATTTAACACAGAGGAGCTTGCTTATTGAAATGGGAATATAACTGACATTCGTACTGTGCAACAGTACTCTTCGTGCATTAGATATCGTCCAAACACACTCTGCCTAGAGCTACCCAAGAGCACTCCTGAGCCGTTCACTGGCTGAGTGAGGAAAGCTCTTCTGAGCATCAAAGTCTCCACTAGGTTTGGCCCTAGGTGTTAGCAAAGCAGGCAGGTGACAGAGGCAGCAACTACCAGAGATGGCCCCACTTTTTTGTCTTTTCTAAGTCATGGAAAGCCAAGCTTGTTGCTGCTGCCACTGTCTTCAGTAAGAGGGACTGAGGACTGTGCCACTCCTACAGACCCTCTCATTTCTTCAGCAGCAGTGGACCAAGATGACCACTTTTCCAGGGATATTCACACAGCTTTCTAGCCCAACTGCTCCCTTCTCTGTGGCAGAATTCCTGACACTGCTCATTAATCCTTGAGGCAGTTAAATTCAGTTTGTTAACACCACTGAATAAAATGGTGAGATAGCATCTGTCTCTGCACTGGAACTCTACTTGCAAACCAAGACTGCGCTGATCATGATTTTTCAAGCCCCATGTAAGCTTCCCATCTTTCTAAGACCATTTACAACAGGCAAGTTCTTCATACTGGCTTATCAAGTGTGAAAGAAAAAACAGCCTCTCACACTCGCAAAGGCCTCTAGAATTAGAACGTGCTTCCCTTAATAGCTTTTAGGAGTCCAAAAAATTGTCTATTTGACTTTAACTAATTTTTAAAAGTGTTTTTACATTTTATTCCTGACAAGTGAGAAGCATGTTGCTAGTGATGCCCAAGTAATATAGCAGCACCTGTTCTTTACTGCCTTTCATTCTGGATAGTTTACACTGACAGGGGCTCAGTTGCTTTTGTCTTCAATGACAAACATCTTTTAATGACCTCTTGCTGAGATTAACAGTACAACTCGCAGTTAGCTCAGTGGTTCAAGTTTTGTATCTGTTTAACTAAGCAAATTACATAAACTCTAATTCATAGGCATATTGTGGAAGACTTTATATGTGGCCATATTTAAATGTTTTCAGTTGTTTCCTGAAGTAACGCATTGCCAGTGTCCCAAGACCAGAAGTCTGTATGTAGGTCATGAATTTTAATGATTGTTTTCTTCTGACAGTACTAGATTCCCCTGTGAATGACCTATACAACCAACTGCATGAAACTGAGCTGCCTCAGACAGGTTTAAGGCAGACTTGACATTGAACATGTGGCTGCTAACTAGCAGTACTACACCTACACTCAGACTACTGAGTTCAAGACCAGCTTTAATGAGAACCAGATCTCTTTAGTTCTTGTACCTGCTTTAGCTTTTTGTTGAATTATAACGAAAGGATAAAATGTACATATAGTAATGGAGAAAATGTGTGGTATGTTTGTATTCTCTTTTTTCCTACTCTTGCTGTTAGCAACAGAGTAGAAATTCTCTTGAGTTAAATAGGGCTTTTTCTAGTTCTTACAAAAGCATGAACACAATAAAATAATTCCATATCACTTATGCATCCAGCCACAGATTACATCTCTAGCTACGTTTTTAAAAGTAATTGTTCATTATTCTCACTGTCTCTCTGTGTGACTGATTTTTTTATTCACATGTAGCCAGATCCTAAAGCTAGGACAAAGTACATTGTAGCTGTGCTTTAAAAAAAACTAATAAAAATAAAGGAAATAAGCTAGAGGGCTTGTGCTCTGAGTGTATCACCAGCCCTAATGGTGGCCATGGCTTCCTCCTGCTAGAGGCATACAGCCTGTCAGCTTTACTTATACACACCAGCAACTACCACAACTCTTCACAGCACAGACACTGTATTTTAACAATATTCACACTCAAGAATAAGAAAACAAAACACTTCACTTCAAGCTAGTTCTGTTGCTGACGGAAAGCAGAGCAAGCTCTTCCCCTGTCAGAGCGATGCAGGTTTAATCCATAGAAGGAACTTGCTCTAAGACTGCTAATTGAAATTACTGTTTTACTTGAAGAAGACGCACAAAAAAGATCAAGATGGGATAATAATAAAACTCGCCGTTACTGATGTTTGAAATAGCTGTGCAACATGTGTTGTCTTTACCTGTTATGTCAACATTTTGCCCAAACAAATGCAGTAGCCATAAAATAAGGGCATTTGGCAGAGAACCATTCCAGGTTAGCCTATCAGCCAGTAGAAAAAAAACAACAAACAAACCAAAACCCAAACCCAACAAAAAAAAAATCCTAGCAAGGTCTGGATGCTCAGTGGACCTGGAGTTGGTTTGCATTTTTCACGAAAAAAAAAGAGATTATCGATAATGTAACATTCTTTCAGGCAGTTCCTCAGCTATGATCTATATAGCACCTGTCTCTCTTCAAGCGACATGAACTCTACATGAGGGAGTCTTTAGCAGAACATAGAGACAGCTTTCCTTGCTTTGAAAGTTAAGGCATTGAGGCATTATTTTTACCATAGTAATACTATGAGGTCCGTATTCCCTCTCCCCACTGAACAAAGTAACACCAATGACTAATGAAGTCTGTAGGACAACAAAAGGGATAAAATGAAATATGTTGCTCCTACGTCACTACACAAATGTTACATTACAATACTCTCAGTTGGTAACACTTCAGTACCTAAATAAAATCTTTTCTGAGCAGTTCATCATCACTAAAACCTTTAGAAGAGTCACCCTGTAGGGGTGAAAGAAAGAGTAGGATGGTGAAGAAACAAAAGCCAGATACTTAATCATCATTATTATTTCAAAGCAAGTCCTAAAGTATTTGAGAATCAGGCAGTGGCATTAAACTAAAAAATAAAAGGATTTAATAGTATTAGACTTAAAAAGTGGTACAGAGTAGTGTTCAAAAACCATATAAAACTATATGGTTGGTTTTTTCTCATACATATCCAAGCAGGCTCTGTGTCTCAACTATTGGCCTATGTCTATCAAACATACTATTAGTTCAACAGACTCAGATTTTCAGTTTTCAAAATGAAAGTGAGGAAAATTTCAATTATATTTGAACAAATTTCACATACATTTCTGTGATTTAAGTATTGAGTTAAAACATCAAAGCTTGCTTTTTTAGTTTATTAATTTCCCCACGTCTCTTTGCAACAGTCACATGATGAATAAGCAAGTTGCTTTGTGCTGTACTGGATATTAAAATTACTCACAATCTTCACTCGGGGCCATTGACAGGTTACTCTTGTCAGGAAGAAATTTTCCACCTTTAGAAAGAGATTTGGACACCCAGTCAGAAAGAGTAACTCACGTGATACTGAAGTCAGTCACCAGATAAGAGACCTCACCTGCCTGCAGGTTTATGATTCTGATTAAAGAAGAGAAAGGGCAGCAAAAATTCCTTTAATAAGGGGCACATTTTATTTTTAAAGTTTAGAGGGAGTCCTTCATAGTGGCCCTTCCACTGCAGAGCCATGCAAGGCAGTGCTAACCGCTTGCCCTCACAGGTAAAATGATCTCTGCGGCCACATGAGACAAAATGGCCACCATTCTGTGGCAGCTCAACCACAAAATACAAACTGGCTGCCCTGTCGGTGGGGCCACTGCAGTGACCCTTCCCCTGACACCCACCTT